AGCGATATGCATAATCCAAACTGTATGATTCGCGGTGGCAATTTAAAAATTCTGATTTGGGGCACCTGGATGGCTCAGTCGGTTAAGCGTCTGACTCCTGATTCTGGCTCAGGTCATGGTCTTACGGTTTGAGCCCCACATAGGGTTCTGTGCTGACGGCATGGAGCCTGCTTGGGATTCTCTCTTGCTCTGTCTTTCTGCCTCTCCACCATTTGTGTTCTCTCTCTCACACACAAAATAAATAAATAAACTTAACAAAAATCCCGCTTTAGTCTTGGCTTTGATTACTGACTTTATGCTCAGCGACGGAGAGTGGCAGGGAGGTACAGCATGCGGGGCCCAGGCCTAGACCCTTGTGTGATGCCCGTCTGTCCTGTTTTACCAGATGCGCCTCCGCCAGCCTGGGGTGAGCCCCCGGCCTCCTTGGTTTGTGCTCCCACCTGAGCACGGTAGTTACCCACCACTGGATATTAACCTAGCTTTAAGGGAAACCACACAAGGTCGAAAGCTGGTACATCTCCTTGGACATTGCTCAGGGGCCTAAGTCTTCCCACTCTGGGGGGGAATCCCAAGTGCACTGGTTTCTTGTTTGTTTTTGTTTTTTTAAATTCCTGAAGATGCAAAGACTTGGAAGCACAAGTGGCTATAGAAACGTTCAGGTTCCTGTGCTTGATCGTATATAAATCTAGAAGTTTCCTGCCACAGCTGGCCTAGCAGCCCGATCTGCTCTCTCCCCTAGCAGGGATTTATTGAGCATCACTCAGGATGGTGAGGTACCATCTTACCTGCCAGGCATCAAAAACACTAGACTTGATTTGGGATTTGGTGAATCCTCGGATATAAGGAGGATAGTTCTGCAAAAATTACCAGAGAACAGGGCTGTAAGAGCTATTCCAGGGGTGTGGATGAAGAAGCGTTGTGGGGCGGGGGAGGGCGGCAGGCATTTCCCTGTCCTCGGGGTGGGAGACCAGGGGTCATAGGGAAGCCTGTTGTGTAAGTTGTTTAACAGCTTTTGACATCAGATTTCACTCCTCTATTTGCCCTTCAGAATCATAACCTTGATCTTAAAAAAGAACCAACTTTATTCAGATGAAGACCCAAGGCCTTTCGTCCTTAAGTAATCATGGGGTCCCTAGCTATGCCCTGTTATTGCTAATTCCCATCAAGAGCAGGAAAAAGGAAGACCTGGCATTAGGTGCACACATGCACATACATCTTCCAAATATTTAACCGCAACGGCAGAAATCCTCCCTGAAAGCAAATGAGGTTATATGGCTGGGCCCACTCAGATCACAGTGAGAGAAGGCTCTGGTGTCCGTCGATTGAAAGGAGTGGGGGCTAAACAGCAGCTAATCTCTTCAATAAGGAGATCCAGAAATACACACAGAGACTCTTCTATTTCTAAGCAGATCAGGAGCATAAGCGGGTCTCGTCATTCTATAGATTGACTTCAGGATACTTTAGGTTGCTTCCTTCTACTCATTGTCATTAACCCGGGGCAATTTGCAAAAACTCCAAATAATTTTGTTTTGCTTAAGCTGTTTTCAAAAAACCAGTGACTGAAAGGTGTCGTATCTCCAGTCACTTCTCACACAGGCAGCGGGGATCTTGCCCAGGCCCTTGCAGACCTCAGAAGGCTCCGGGCTTCTGCAAGCTCAGGTCTGGAAGCTGCATTCTGAGGGGAAGGTGGGGGCAAGAACATGGGGCTTTTCGCAAAGCCACGGCTCTGGGCCCCTCCAGGGCCCCAGACCCACCCCAAGACCCCGTTTTCGTCCTTCGACACCAACCACAGGGACTGGTCATTTCCCTTTTCTTTTAACTGTCGCTGTCATTCAGTCCAGACCCCAAGAAAGCAAGACCCAGGCCAGCCCGGGAGGCTCCCTCTGCTCCCCCCCAGGCCCCAAAGGCAAGCAAAGAGCCGTTTTCATGTTAATGAGCTTTACAGCTACCGGCTGGGGGCCGACCGGACTAACAAAACAGATGAACACACAGCTTTTTCTTCTTGATTTGCAAGCAATCTCTCTCAATTCTAGCCGGGAATCATTTGTAACAGGCAGCACAACTAATGTGTTTCCTAGAATAGTGTTTTTCTCCCATTTGGCTTAAATTATTTTTTCCCCTGAATTAAGGTTATACCTGCAGTATACCTGGGTATATCCACAGTAACAGACAGTCAAAATCTAGAACCTTTGGCTTCCAATTCAACAGTGGTGGGATCATAACAAGAAGCCGGGTCTGTCTGATACCACAATCCACTCTTTACCTCAATGCCTTTCCTACGAGAAAATAAAAAGCATTTTCCATTCACCTCACATGGACTAGTTCTCTCCGCACACGGGGCAGCATATTTGGAGCAGCACATCTTTCAGAGCCGTTTATATCATCAAGACTTATGGATATCTTAGTTTTAATAACAGGGTAAGTTAACACTGATGGTGTGAATTCCAGGCGGACGTGCGAAGGTTTAAAACCACTCTCCCATCCCATCTTCCCTCAAGCCCTGGTTCTGCACAGTGGGCTGGGCTTGGGTTTACTCCACCCCCCACCACTCTGCTTTCCAATCAGAGTTGGGGGTGGGGCGCCATCCGGGTGCCTTGTTTTCAGTCTGTAAGTACGGTTTGTAATTTTGACAGCTTCTCCCCTCCTAGGTGTCAGAGTTAGGTGGCCTAGTCCAGAAATATAAATGAAGTAGTGAATATTTTCATATTTTTGCGGTCCATATTTTTATGGTCTGAAGACAAATTATTCAACGAAATCAACAAATTGTGTAACCGACATATATATGTACATATATATACATCCACCCACACCCACACCCACACTTTTTAAAGGCTCACAAATTAAATTAGTTAATTGGAACTGAAGTCTTGGATAGGATACAGTTTCTGGAAACGTGGATTAGAGTTCCCTTGAGTGTGTTGGCAGTTTTCATAAGTTGCTTTCTCCTTGCTATGCAGATCTTGTACACATAACAGTGTAAGTGTTGATTTTATTAAAAATACACATGACTCATTTTTTGGTCTTTTGGTGACACTGAAAATCCATTGTCCTTGTGGTACAAAGGGGTGCGTTTCTAAAAGGGGAAAATGATCAGTCTGGATTTGGAGTTTGGTCCCTGCACTTGGGCAGCTAGCCCCTATTTGGAGCAAACGGCTCCAGAAATTTATCTTTCAAGGGAAAACCCCATTCTGGTGCCATTTGGATCCAAATTTCTAAGAAAGGAAAGGAGGAAGTGGTGAACTCTGAACACAGGGTCTAAATTATGTTGCTTCGTAATGGGGTCATGAAGACCACGGGGCTCCATGACTCCAGAAAAGGGTGCGTGTGGGTCGGTTCCAGGGCTGTGGCCCGGCGAAGGACCCGGCCCCATCCACCAGGGACCCTGCCGCAGCCGTTAGAGCTCTTTCTTGAAAACCACACGGAGCCCTACAAGGTTGGGAGGGGCGGTCTGGCAACCTCAACCCAGCCCTCAGGGGGCCATTTCAACTAGTAAATCCCCTGACTCCATTTAAGGGGCCCCAGGAAACGCTCAAACCACTGGCGATCATGTAAGGGGGAAATTCCCAGTGGGAATTTATGTAAATTTGGCCGGTTCCAGAGAAAGGTGTGGAGCAAACCATGACTTGGGTATTTTTGGTTTCGGAAAGCAAGCCCCGGGTACAGAAGGACGCCAAGGGCACCTGAGTTCACGGCCGGCTCCGGGAGCGCTCAAGCATGGATGCGACCTCACTGGAGATCGCTGTCCCCCCCCCCGCCCCCCCGTGAGCCCCGCGGACGCGGGTTCTGAGCCGGCTGCGATCTCCCTTGGAGGTCCGCGTAGACGCCGCGGAGAGTCTCGCCCAGGGCGTTTTTGACCGTGGTCCCCGCTGAGCCCCTCCGCCTGTGCTCCCTCCCGGGTCAGGGGTGTTTCGTCAGCCCGGTCGTGGGCACCTTGGGGCCCCGAGGCCCTTGCACGGCTGGCCCCGGGGGGCCCCGCCAGCAACAGCGGTGGAAAGGGAACGGGAGGAGAGGGGCCCAGAGAGGCGCGGCGGTGTTCCTCGTGGTCTCCGCGCTCGCCCCGCGACCCAAGCCGCTCTTTCCGCGACTCTGCCGCCCCGCGCGCGCCCCGCGCAGCCTTTTCCGCGAGGCGTGGGCCCGCCGACCCTGGCTTCCCGCGGTCAGGGGCACCCCGAGGCCGGACGTGCGAAGGTTTAAAACCACTCTCCCATCCCATCTTCCCTCGGAGAAGGAAGGCGACACCGGTTTGGGGGGGGGGGGGGACGAGGGAAGCCCCCCAGCCCTGGCCTGGAGCCTCCCGTTTTCACCCAACGTTCCTGCGGAGGCGCCGAGACACCCCCCTAGGGCGGCTCTTCTAGGAGCTGCCTGCGAGCCACAGTTGGCCCGGGTCGTGTGCGCCCGGGACCCTGCCCTCCGCGAGCCCCCCGGTCCGAGGGCACGGCCGCAGCGCCCAGCCCCGGCCCCCGCCGCGGCCCCCACCTCCGTGCCCCCACCAGTCCCCCGTGGCCCCCGGCGATCCCCTGCTTTAAGCTCCGGGTCGAGTTGCCCCCCCGCCCCGAACCCCGTCTCCCGGGGAGGCGGAAAAGCGAGCTCAGCGGCTCCCAGAAACTTCCAACCCCGAAGCGGGAGGCCTGACGCCCTGGGCCTTGCCGGGCCACGGGTTGGGGGGGTGGGGGGGTAGGAGGCTCCCGCGGCGGGAGCAGGCTCAGCTCCCAGGGCCCCGGCCCCCACCTGCGCCCCGCTCCCGCGGGGCCGCCGGAGAAGAGGGCGGGGCCGCCGGGCGCCCGAGGCGCCGGCCGTCACGTTCCCGGGGCTCCGCCGGTACTTGCCGGGCGCGTGCGTGCGTTTCCGCGCTCTGGCGCCGGGGAGCCCTCGCGCCGCTCCGAACTTTTGCGGGGCGCGGGCCGCGGGGGGCGGGGGCCCGGGGCGCGCGCCTCCCCCCGCGCGGCCGCCCCGCCCTCCTCCCCGCGCGCGCGGCCCCCGCCCGCCCGCCGCGCCCGGAAAGCCCCCGCGGCTCCTCCCACCCCCGAGGGGCTTTTCTCCCGCCTCCGGCGACCTCAGTCGGCGAGCGCAGCCGCCGGGGGCTCGTTTCCGCCGGGCTGGAGCCGCGGGCGCCGAGGGGCGGTGACCCCGGTGCACGCCGCGGTCTCCCGGCCCGCGCGCCCCGGCCGCCAGCATGGTGTTGCTGGCCGGGCCCGGGCCGGAGGGCGGCGGGGCGCGCCGCGTGTCTCCGCAGCCGGCGTCCCCGCCCCGGGACGCTCAGGCCGGGGACGACGCTGCCGACTACGAGGAGTACGAGGACTTCTCGTGTCTGCCCGACACCCGCAGCGTCGCCTCCGACGACTCCTTCTACCCTCTCGGCGGCGAGCAGGAATACGGCGCCGCGAGCGCGGAGAGCGTCCCGGAGGGCGTCCCGGAGGAGGCGACCCTCCTGCGCGCCGCCTGCGCCAACGACGTGGGGCTGCTGAGGGCGCTGGTGCGGCGGGGCCCGAGCGCCGAGGAGGTGCGGGAGACCGACCGCAACGGCCGGGTAAGTTGGCGTCTCCGCCGGGGGCGGACCCCCCCCTCCCGCCCCGCGCCGCCCGGGGCCCGCGGGGACTCTGCCGCCGCCCGGAACGCCTCTCCGTCGCCGTCCGGGCGTGCGGCGCGTGCGGAGCCTGGGGTGGCCGGCGCACCCCAGCCCGGGGGTCCCGGCGGGGGCGGGGGGCGCCGCCCGAGGTCGCAGCGCCGCGGGGGACGCCGCTGGCCTCGCGTCCTCGCCGCCTCCGAGTCGCTTCCCGCCCCCGGAGTCCTCCTGCCCTTGAATTCCCCCGCCCCCGCCCCCACCGCCTGGGGCCCGCGCTCGGATCCGGGTTGGAGACCTCGCGTCGGGCCCCTTCAGTCTGGGCCCCCTTCGACCGTTACCCTTCCGCGTTTGCGGGGAACGCGTTTCTGTCCGGAGCCCCGATTGCTCCGCTCGGTGACCTTGCCCTTTCGCTTCCACGCCCCAACACGGACGGGCTGCTCCAGGCCCCGGGGATTCGGAGCTGCTTCCCGGAGCGCCCCCACCCCCGCCCCCGCCCCGCCCCCGCCGCGCCCGGTGACCCGCGTGGCGACCTGCGAGCGTGGCCTGCGACTTGGCCGTGTGCACGGTCACGGTCACGAGCCAGGGCAGCCGGGGGCCCCGGAGGCAGGTCCCGGGAGGGCAGTGGAGGGGCAGAGACGCCCACCCAGTAGGGCCGGCCGAGGCGAGGCGGAGGGAGGCCCGGGGTGCCGGTTCTTCGTGTCGAGACTCCGGGGTGGCAGGGCGCGTTTAGGAGAGAAAAAGTTGGCTTTCGGAGACTTGAGAATGGCGAGAAGAGCCCGGCGAGCGGACGGAAAACCGCAGGGTGACCGCAGCGGCCAGGGGCGCGCCCGGCCTGCGCTGGGTGGACAGCGGCAGCTGCTCGCCCCGGGCGCGCCGCCTCCGGGGCCCCGTGGGGTGCAGCCTGCGCCGGGCGCACGTGTGGGGTGCCGGCGCGTTGCCCCCCGGCCCCCGCGACAGGAAGGACCTGCTTTTGCTTGGGAGCCGTGACCCCGGGCCTCCCGTTTATCTGTCTCTGCCTGGGTTTGGGGCTGGGCTTCGTCAAGTTGGAACCTGCTAGTGTCACGTTCCGCCACTCGGCTCCCTGGACGCAGCGTGTGAAATGGGCGGAAGGGACTGGGCTTCCCTGGCCCCTGGGCCCCCCTCTCTGGGCTTGTGACTCAGTCCAGTGCCTGCAGCCCACCTTCCCTCCGCCGTCCCTGGGAAGGTGGGTGGGCGGCCGGGGCCCCTTCTGCCCCTCCACTTGTGCCGTTTCTAAGGTGAGTTTTCACACCGGGGTGTGCACAGCACACCCCTCTTTCCTGGCAGAGCCATCCGGGCCCACAGAGGTCTGGGCGAACCTGGGGGTGGGTGGCGGCGGGTCCCATGTCCTGGGCAGCCTGGGTGGGCAGGGGCCCAGTCTGGCCTGCCCAGCCCCCACTTCGAGGCTCCCCTGGGCTCAGCTTGATTATGTTCCCTTTGGGGCCAAAGAGTAAAAGTTTGGGAACAGCCGCATTCAAGCCACTGAGAGCAAAGTAAACAAACCATCGCCAGGGGGGTTGGGCCTCATCAACCAGGTTTCTGGGCTGCTTTTGGAAGCCACCCCTCAGCGTAGAGTCGGGGGAGGGCAGCGGAACTGGACACCAAACAGGGCCCGGCCTCTCTGCCTCGGTTTCCTAGCTGCACCTCCTGGGGTTGCAGCAGGAAGGCCCTCGTGCACACGGCCCTCCGACCCAGCCCGCCTTTACCATCTTGCCCTGTTTCTCGCCAGCCGCCTCCGGGCTGGGAAGAAGGCCGCCTCCAGCCCTTTCCTCTTCTGCCCGGCACCGCTTGTTCTCTCTCCGCTTTCCCCTGTGGTGACAGAGTCTCTCTTTGTTCCTCCGCCTTGAGTCTCCTCCTCCCTGTCCCCCCCCCCCCCCCAGCGTGATGGAGAAATGGTACACGTCTGACAAGCCGCAGGGACTCCTGGGCGCTTTTATCTTCTGATCAGAAGGAGCAAGCCTTGCGTTAGGTGCTTTGGGGGAGGAGGGAGGCCAGCGCTTCTGTTCCCAGTGGCTCCTACATGCTGTTGATCAAACAGCCTCCCTCTTCCTGTGAAAACTGAGAATAACGTGTTGTGCAAATACACGACCGACGGCAAATGGGGTCGTGAGCCGCTGCCTAGCGTTTCTTGCAGACATACTGTGTTCAAGGCAATGGCTACGTCCTGGCGGACACTTGAGGGAACATCAAACTGTCCTTGCGTTGAGAGCCCGCCTTTTATTTGAGGAGAGACCTCCGAGAGGAGTGGTACCCGGTGCTCAGAGCCAGGGGCGGGGCCCCCGAAGGCAGGCTGCGGAGATGCGGGGCAGGATCTTCAATGCAAGCAGCTGGGACCATCCTGGGAGCCCAGGGGAGACTTGGGGGGGAGCAGCGGAGGGAGGATGTTCTGCTCAGGCTGACCCAGCCAAGGGGGGTTTGGGGGGCAGCATGGTTGGCTGCAGCGTGGTATGGGGCAGGGATGTAGGGGCCAGAGCTGGAGGGGCTAGCCTGGGTCAGGTGGGAAGGGGCCGCTGGCTAAGAAGCAGGAGACTGGGAATCAAAGAGCTGGTTGCAGCCCGACAGCGTTCAGCCTTGGGGCTGAGGTGTGCCTCTCCAGATGGCCGCGTGACTCGCTCACCCACTGCCTCCAGGTTGTCATCTCAGGGGCACCTTCACGGGGATCTAGCCAGCAGCACCTGGAGCTGGGTAGTCACAGTCTGGGGGTTCAGGGATTGGGAATGGTCATGTGAGAGAGCAGGTGAGCTCTGACTAAGATGTAGCGAAGATAGATGGGGGAAAGCATTCTGGGCAGAGGACACAGTAAGTGCAAAGGCCCTGAGGCATGAGCCCTTTGGGCCTCATCTGCAAGCTTATCACGAGTCACGAGTCACGCAGAAACCTTACAGAAAGGTTTGGGAGTAGAGGGGTAATTGCACCAACAGCAGAATGCATGGCTCACAGAAGAGAAATGTTGGCTTCTTAGAAGAGAAATGTCTCTGAAGGTTCTGAGAGGGTTTCCGGGTACACTTGTGGAGCTAACGATCTCTGATCGGTTAAGAAGGGCATTTTTCCTGAACTGACAGATGTTTCCTTCAGTTTGTGTAACCAAGGATCAGACGTGTCTTGTTTAAAAACGTACTCTCATCTGGCCCCTGAGATGGGTTTCATCTTGGATGTGGGTCAGCGTGCAGTTTTCTTCTAAAATATTTATTGCTCTAAAAGGATTGCATGCTTTGATATGCAGCACGTAAACATTTGGCAAATAATTCTCCAGTAACATTCAAAGTGTGCTCTTGCTGTCATTTAGATTTATGGTGGCTTTGTTCCCTATGACTTGGGGACACTGCAGGCTGCCATGATTCTCTTTCTTCATTCTTCTCTTCCACTATGGCTGTGACAGCTCTGGAGACCCTGGGCCGTGTCTGTGCTCCTTTCCTTTTTTGCAAAAGAGCACTTTGCATCTCAGACAGCTCTTGAACCAAATTAGGTCCAGTTATGCTAAATTGAAAATATTGCACTCCTTTTTAAAATTTTTTTTTTAAAAATGTAATGTTTCTTTTTTGAGAGAGAGAGAGACAGGGAGCGAGCAGGGGAGGGGCAGAGAGAGAAGGAGACACAGGATCTGAAGCAGCTCCAGGCTCTGAGCTGTCAGCACAGAGCCCGACTCGGGGCTCGAACTCACAAACCGTGAGATCGTGACCTGAGCTGAAGTCGGCCGCTTAACCGACTGAGCCATATAGGTGCTCCTTTTTTAATGTTTTAAAAAATGTTTATTTCATTTTTGAGAGAGAGGAAGAGAGCACCAGCAGGGGAGGGTCAGAGAGAGAGAGAGCAACGGAGGATCCAAAGCAGGCTCTGCTCTAACAGCAGAGAGCCCCATGCTGGCTTGAACTCACAAACGGTGAGATAAGTCAGATGCTTAACCTGTCGAGCCACCCTCTTGATGTAACTCTTCTCCTGCATGTTTTAATTCTAGGGACTCTCCAAAGGCCTCTCTGCGCTTTGTCTCTTGCCTCAGCAGAGCCCACACCACACTCCCCACACGGGGGTACCTTCCTTTACCCTTGAGGGGCTCCCCGTTTTATAGATTTGCAGCAGTGACGGGCACCTTTATCTTGACACACACACATAAGGAAAAATTGGGGTTCGATTTTTGTGTTCTCTGTTTTTCAAATGCCCCAGAAAGATTCATAAACTTCGGAATCCCCTTTCCCCAAACCGAGAATCAGGTGGTGTGGACTTCACCCCCAGCCCTTCCGCGGCTGCCAGGCCTCTGTGTCCGCGCGAAGAATGGCCTCGTCTTGATGGAAGGTGACTTTTGGCCTCCGAGGATTTGAGAGCTTGTGGGCAGGGAGCTTGCCTTTGCTGGTGGGGATGTGTGCTGGTGTGTCCCGCTGAGTCTGAAGTGTGGGGGAGGGCTGGGAAGGGAGGACAGCAGATTAGACGGGAGCCCCAGGGGCGGGAGCAGGGAGGCGATCAGCTGAAGCGGACACGCGCATGTGACAGACAGGCTGACAGATGTGTGCTGCTTCCTCCCCAGGGACCGTGGTGGGGGCGGGCGCTGCTCTGGGCCCGGCCTCAGTAGCGTAGTCCATCTGCTTCCTTGTATCTTTGTTTTTTTTTTATTTTATTTTATTTTATTTTATTTTATTTTATTTTATTTTATTTTAATTTAATTTAATTTAATTTTGTTATATTATTTTAGAGTTTATTTAGTTATTTTTAGAGAGAGATCGAGAACACAACCAGGGGAGGGGCAGAGAGAGAGGAGAGGGAGAGAGAGAGAATCCCAAGCAGGCTCCACACCATCAGTGCAGAGCCCGAGGGGGGACTCAAACTCATAAACTGCGAGATCATGACCAGAGCCAAAATCGAGAGTCGGATTCTTAACCGACTAAGCCACCCAGGTACCCCATCTCTGATTTTTTTTTTTTAAGGACGTAAGTTTCTAAGAACAGTTTTTAGAG